CTATAGTCACACATTCAAACATGTTGTCCATGACAGTTGACATTGTTTCGATCAACTTATAATTAATCTTCTTGTCAACATACAGTATAAAGCTACTCCCCCTCCATTTTTGTTTTCTCTGTTCTTACAAACCATTTCATAACCATTGATTTCAAAGTCTATGCCCTTATCACTATTGAGCCAAGTTTCTGATAAGGCAATAACATTGAAGGTCTGTGAAAGTTGTTGGAGGTATTGTTTGATGCTGTCAAAGTTTGCATAAAGGCTTCTGCTATTAAAGTGAGTTATTGACAGCTTTTGTTCCGTTTTAATCCTGTTGTTGAACTGATCATCGCTGTAATAGTGACAACTATCATTGATGACATTATAGAAGTTGTTATCAGGATCAATGTCATTTTCAATATCTTGCTGATGATAGTTTCTGTGTTGGAATACGGGTAGCTCTATATCCTCATAGGCCGCGATCTGTTGCATGTTTCTCTTTCAGAAGTGAACGTCAGCTATGTCTGGCTGTCTGTCAGTTTATATTAAAAGTTATCTTTGCTTCTTCAAAGAGAAAAGGACAATAAATGGTGTTTCAAAGTGTTTTTATAGATGTTTTACAGATGTTTTGTTGACTATTTAGCATCAAACAGTGGTTAAGCAACAATTATCTACAACTTAACTCTGATAAAACAGAAACTCTGATTGTTGCATCAGAAAACAAGGTTGCTCAGACTGAAGAGTTTGTTGGTGTCTTAGGTCCACCAGTTCAGTCCAGCCTCAGAAACTTGGTGTCATTTTTGATTCTGCAGTGTCTGAAACAACAAACAAAACAACTGACCAGGAACTGTTAATTTCTTCTTTGGAACATCTCAAAACTGAAACATTTCCTGTGAAAAGCTGAACTTGAAGTGGTCGTTCATGCATTTATTTCTTCTGGTTTGGACCATTGTAACAGCCTGTTCACATGTTTAAACAAGAAGGAGTTGGACCGTCTTCAGGTTGTCCAGAACCCGGCTGCTCGACTGTTAACTAACTGTTAACTAACTGTTAACTAACTGTTAACTAACTGTTAACTAACATAAACAAACGTGATCACATCACACCTGTTGTGGCTCCTCTTCACTGGTTCCCAGTTCATTTTAGAATTCATTTTGAAATTCTGGTTTTAACTTTTAGAGCCTCACATGGTCAAACCCATCATAAATGTCAGATTTGATCCAGCTTCACACCGTCTGACAGTCTGAGGTCATCAGGTCAGATGTTGTTGGTGGGACCACACACAGTTTAAACCCAGAGGGGATCGGGCTTTAAGCAGTGTCACCTCAGCTCTGGAAAGCACTGCCCCAACTTAATATTATTAATTAAATTAAATAAATTATTATTATTAACTTATCCACAGCCTTGATTCTACTGATGCTTTTAAAAACATCTGAAAACTTTCTTTTACAAACTGTGTCTTTTTTTACTTCTTGTATTCTTGTATGAGTGTAATGCTGTGGTGAAGTTTTAATTTACTGTTTTACTTTCTTGTTTTTATTGTTTTATGTGAAGCGTGTTGTGATTTTATGTCTATGAAAGGGGCTATATAAATAAACTTTACTTACATACTTACTATTTTATATTAAGAAACTTTTTAAGTGCAGTACTTCAGTGAAGTGATCCTGCATCGCCACCCTGCCCAGAGCTTTTGCCCCCTGGAAAATTTTCTAGATGCACCACTGGTCTGAACCCCAATTTTATGTCATTTTAAGGAGGAAGTTTTGATGTCATTATAAAGAAAAAACTTCAGATAGTAGCCTATTTGAATATTGAGATTTCACAGCCAAAAGAAACCAAACTTTACTAACTCACAGGGAAATGCTTCAACATTTAGTTTTATGATTATATTTCAGACAGTTCATTCAAATGATACATTAATAAGGCTTTTATTCAGTATGTTTTGACAAAATGCAATTTTTGCAAACATTTTAATCAAAACACATTTGCCTTTTACTTCGATGTCCCACTTTTACACTTAATCCTCATTTCAATATGATGAGTCCCGTCATAATGAAATGAGGATTAAGTCAAATTAGGTCAAAATGACCTAATTACATTTTCATATTCTTGTCTTTAAAAGCTACATTTTGATACCTGGATCATTCTGATATCATCATTAAATCCATATATATGACTTAATTTGTCTTGTTGGTTATTATACATTACTGTTTAGTCTGAATCCTGATTTTATATAAATTTATTGAGTCATGTTTGATATTAATGAGTGTAAACCTCAAATATTATTTTATACACTAATATTTCCCAGTTGGAAACAAAAACTTTGCTCACAGGGAAAATGTAAAAATTTGAAGACATTTTTCCTCAAAATCAAGTTTTTGTTGCTACTGCTAAAAAAATGCTTCAACATTTAGTTTTATGATTATATTTCAGAGTTCATTCAAATAATACATTCATAAGGCTTTAATTCATTATACTTTGACAAAATGTAATTTTACACATGTTTAAATCTAAACCTTATATCTGCCTGTTTGTTTACTTTTAGACTTATGTTCATTTCGGTGTGACGTCACACATATAAAGATATATTTCCAACAGATAAACTAAAGATGCTTCTGAGCAGTTTGTAGAGACAGCGGCCGCGCATGCGCAGCTCCGCCTGTCCTCCTGCAGCTGACCGTCACAGACCAGTCTTCCCAGTGCCACAGTCACATCCTGGACTGGGCGGTGAAATAAAGAGCAGGCGGGAAGCGATGGCCGCTGTTTTCGGGAAGATCTTCGTGGGTGTTTATGTGGAGATCAAACGGAGCGACGGTACGTCCTGTTTCCTCTGAAGCCTCGAGCTAACCGCTACATGCCTCTGCTGCTGCGGTGTGACCGGATGTAGGGATTCAAACCAGCACCCCGTGAAGTCGTGTGTGCTGTGCTCCGTGAAGCACCCACAGCAGCCGGGCCGGTCCACACCTGCCCTGCCTCCTGCTGTGCATCACGGGATAAAGACTGGGCTGGTACCGGTACCGGTCTGAGCTGCAGCACCCTGCCGGCTCTGGCCTCACCCATCAGTGTGACGTCACTGCAGCAGATCTGTGCAAAAACTGCTTTCTGATGAAGATGATGGTGGTGATGATGATGATGATGATGATGATGGTGGTGATGATGATGATGATAGTAGTGATGATGATGATGATGGTAGTGATGATGATGATGGTGGTGATGATGATGATGATGGTGGTGATGATGATGATGATGATGATGATG